GTGTTGTTTGATGAAGCTCGTCGACCAGCACTTGTGGGCGAGCTCATGGATCAGCGCTTGTTGGCGGGCTCGTCGACGATCACTTTCGTTAATCAGTGAGGTCCACCAAGGACGTTGGCTGGATCTTGTTGGATAGGGACTCATTGACACCCACAATCGAGGAGCAACAAGAGCCCGTTCGTTTGTAAGATCGGCGACGCCCAAGCGAAGGCGGGGCCTTTCTTTTCGACGGGTTTGACGTCCATAGTCAAATTAGTTGAAGTGCAACAGACCAACCCTTGAACCAATCGGATTTGTGTAACATTTGCAAAAGCTGCATTGAAAAACACACACTTTAGGGTGTCGAGAAGAATAGGATGGTCATTAGGTCAAGGGGAGGGGTACAAGAACAACATCGAGTGAAATTATGTACCCCCTAGTGCTAACACCCATAAAGCCTAAACAACATAAGCATATATGTTTTGACACACCCCCATAGGCGAAATGGGGGATAGCTAGAGAAAGCAATGGTCACAAGACCAGTCAAGAGAAACGACAAAACAAAGCAAGCTCAGGGTGGATCACGAAGTTACCACACATTCTGAGCACAAGCAAATGGCCACGAGGTCAGTTCACATGCAGAGTTATATAATGTAGAACAAGCAGTACAAAGATCAAAACCTAGCAAGTGTAAGCATGCAGGTACAAGTATATAGATCACAGTACAAACAAGGTCAAGAAGTGAGCAAGTGAGGCCAAGTGGGCACAAGGCATAGAACAGTACACAAACGCTGATGATCACAAGGTGCAAGTGCCTTGATGAAGATATCAGCAGTGTTGGCCCGGGAGGCCACGTAAGCAAGACGAAGCTGACCATGCTGCTGCAGCTCTCGAGCAAGGAAGTAGCGCAGAGCGATGTGCTTCGTTCTATGCTCCAATCTGTGCTCCTGACACAAGGCAAGCATGGCCTTGTTGTCGACGTACTGAATTGGGGGGGAACGTGGCTGCTCTCCCAAGTCAGTCACCACGCAGGTGAGCCAGCGTAACTCCTGTGCAGCCATGGCTCCTGCGTAGATCTCAACCTCACAACTGGAACTGAGAGCAGAAGATGAGCGGGTAGACCGCCACGAAACAGAGCTGGCGCCAAGGCTGAAAGTGTAACCCTGTGACGACCGCTGAGTAGCGAAGTCATCAACCCAAGAAGCGTCAAAGTGGCCAATGAGGACAACTCGAGCCCATCCTCCAAGCACGAGCCCTATGCCCAACGTACTGCACAAGTAGTGCATCACCCTCTTAGCGGCCTTCCAGTGCTCTGGTCAGTGTCTCTCGGGCGCGACGTAGCGTGCCAGGCTGTTAAGAGGGTAAGCAAGGTCAGGTCGAGTGCAGGTCATCAGGAACATGAGGTAGCCCACAAGCTCTGGATACAGGCCACTCGGCTCTACGGACTCATCCGAATGCAGAGCTGAGAGCAAGTGACCGGTAGGCAGAGGAGTTGACTGTGGCGAGGAGTACTAGACGTCGAAGCGCTGAAGGACCTGCTGCACCATGTGTGACTGAGTCAAGGTAATGGTGCACTGTGCGCTGTCCCGGGTGATCTGAAAGCCAAGATACCTATACAACTCACCCAGGTCTGTGCACGTGTGTCTCTTCTGCAGCTCCGACATCACAAAGGCCAGTCCAGCAGTGTCAGCAGTGGCAAAGACCAAGTCGTCGACGTACACGATGATGTAGAATGGCGGCGGAGAAGTGTCGGTGCGTAGAAACAACGACGGATCTGCAGTCGAAGGAGCAAACCCAAGAGCCGCAAGCATCGTCCTCAGTGTGTCGTGCCACTCGCGAGGCGCCTGGCGGAGACCGTAGACTGGCCGCCAGAGGCTCCACTGGGTACCTGCAGGAAACGACTCAGTAAAGCCAGATGGGCGGCGCAGCCAGATCTCCTCGTGCAGGCTGCCCTATAGGAAGGTTGTGCTGAAGCCAAGCGAGTGAAGCTCGTAGTCACGCTGAGCGGCTACGTGTAGTAGCACCCAAAGAGTGGTCATCTTTGGGGTAGGGAAGAAGGTCTGGAAGAAGTCAGCTCCCTGTTGCTGACTGAAGCCTCGAGCAACGTAACGCGCCTTGAAGACAGGCGGAGAACCCGGCGGCTGCTTCACCCTGAAAATCCACATGCCAGTAACGATGTTCGCCCCAGGTGGGGAACCTCCTCAACGTAGGTACCCTCAATCGCCTCTGCGTAAGAGCGCGGGGTCGGGATGTCTGGTGCATCCGGGTCTCCCTCACGTGCAATCAGCATAGACACGAGATGAGGTAAAGCAGCTGCAAAACACTCAAAGTGCTCCTGCTTGTCCTCAAAGACGTCTGTGCTAAGAGCACACTGACGGAGGATAGACAGACCCAGACTCAACAACAAGACTAGTGGCGTGGTCTAGACGACAGGCGGCGGCGAATTCAGTAAGCTCAGCAACTAGGGCAGACGCAGCAGTGGACTCAAAGGAAGGGTTAGTGACAACAGTGGCCAAAAGACGTGTGACAGTAGGACTAGCAGCACGAAATGAGTCAGACTCAGGGTCCGATCCGTCAGCAAGAGAGGACGCAGGAGGAGACGGCAGAGGGACACACAATGGAACAGAGGAAGGACGAAGTGCCATCTGGTGCATGCCGGGGACAGGAGGAGGACGCTGATGCGAAACACGACGACCAGTGCAAACAGCACGAACAGGCGACGTAGGATGAGACGCAGGCTCACGACGCTCTATGAGACCGCCGGGCTGCTCAGTGTAAGGAGAAGGAGCCGGCAGTCGGGAGGCTGGCAGTAGCTATGGTCGTGTCTGGTCAGGCGGTGGACACAGCAAGGGAGGAGTAAGGCCAGTAGAAGGCGGGAGACCAAGAACCTGTTGAAGCAGTGGAACGAAGTACGGTCGCAGCCGCACAGCGCCTCCAGAACCAGCTCCGACAGCACGAGCACCCCAAGGGCCAGCACCTCCAGCTCTAAGGCCTCCAGCAGCTCCAACGCCTGCAAGACCACCAGCTCAAGCAGCTCTAGTACCCCCATCAGCTCTTGCTAGAGCAGCACCCCCAGCTCCAGCAGCTCCAGTACCTCCAGTACGAGCACCTCCGGGACCAGCGGCTCCAGCACCTCCAGCAGCTCCAGCTCCAGTAGCACCTCTAGCTCCAGCAGCTCCAGTACCTCCAGTACGAGCACCTCCGGAACTAGCAGCTCCAGCACCTCCAGCAACTCCAGCTCTAGCAGTACCTCGAGCTCCAGCAGCTCCAGTACCTCCAGCACGAGCACCTTCGGGACTAACGGCTCCTGTACCTCCAGCAGCTCCAGTTCCAGTAGCACCTCTAGCTCTAGGGCCTCCAGCGGTAGGCCCCTCAGCTCCAGCTGCACCACTCTGGAGGCTCTAGCGCCGAGAAAACCACTCGCGCAGCTGCAGTGGAGAAAGAGACTCTCGCCGTGACACGACACCCAACGGACCTCCACGCTCAGCACACTCGGGCTCAGCACACGCGGGCTCCGCACCTCCAGGCTCCGCACGCTTAGGCTCAACACCCCCAGGCTTAGCAACCCCAGGCTCAGTACCCCCAGGCTCCGCACGCTCAAGCTCTGCACCCGCAGGCCCCGTACGCGTAGGCTCAGCACCCCCAGACGCAAGACCCCTAGCAGCACCAGAGTTGACAACTACCTCGACAGGCTCGACGGGGTCTACCTGGGACACACCTGAGGGAGCAGGACCCCGAGGGGGGAGGGGGTCTACTGGAGGAGGACCTGGTGTGAGGAAGAGCGGCGGGGGAGGGAGAGGGGCAGTGCGGTAGGGGAAGAGATGGTAAAAGGGAACCGACTCGTCAAACGTGACGTCCTGAGAGGACAGGACACGGCGCGAGGTGGGGTGGTAAAACTGCCAGCCAGGCGCATCAGGGGGAAAGTCAAGGAAGACGCAGGGAACAGCGCGGGAGGAGAGCTTGTCCGCGGAGGTATCGCAGACAAAAGCACGACATCCCCAGACCCAGAACACCTACGCATCGCCAACCTCTCCCGTCCAACGCAGTGTGGGCGAGGTGTTCGGCAAGGAGAAATGGGGCCAGAGGTTGAGCTGATACGCAGCGTACTGGACTGCAAACGACCACAGAAAATGGGGGGCAGCCGCATGGATCATAAAGCGACCTCCATGAATAAGCCAATACAACGCTCAGGAACCCCATTCTGCTTCGGAGAGGCCGGAAGCGTGAACGTCTGGCGAATGCCCTCCCCACAACAAAAGTCCCGCAAGAGGTTGGAGGAAAACTCGCCACCTCTGTCAGAGTGCAGATGCACGACAGGAAGGTCCGTCTTGAACCGCTCGCGGAGCTGGAGACGAACAGCGCGGATCCAAGGGATCAGAACATCAGGGTCCTCCCCCTTGCGGCGCAAGGGGAAGACCGTGGTGTAACGCCTGTAGTCGGCGACAACCAACAAAAATTATCGCTCGTGGCCCTATCCACTAACGCGGGCTGGGCCCCACATGTCCAGATCGAGAGTCTGCAGGGGAGCCTCTGTTGGGGAGAAGGAGGAGGAGTGAGAAGTGGCGCGCTGCCGCCCCTTGACACAGGGAAGGCAGGGAGGGGCAGGCAAGGGTCGGAGGGGAGGCAGAGACCTAGGAAGACCAGAGACAAGGAGACGAGAGTGCATACCATAGAGGGGTGACCAAGGCGGTGGTGCTAAAGGAGCTTCTAGTGCAACAGGACGCGACACGAGGAGGGGGCCGCAAGCTGACCTGATACAGATGCAGCTACCTGAGGAGGCGCAGTAGTGAATGTGTACAGACTCGGCCCAAGCTGATGGGTGAACGTGGTCAGGTGCCTGCCAGTCCGGGAGCACATACAAATCGCTACACACTGTCCTCCAGGGGTGAATGTATCAACCCACTGAACATAAAGGACTGTGTTGCTCTCCAAGTTCATAGAGAATGAGAGGAGGTGGAGACCTGTCAGTGAGCCAGATGGAACCGTCGAATACGAGCGAACAGTGGAGGAACGTGCAATGACTAGGCCCCTGAGGGGTCACCCAGAGAGACAGCAACATGTGCAGATAGGGGTGTGACTGTGGTACTTTTGCGAAAGAAACAGTGGGAAGCACCTGAGTCAAGCGTGAAGGTGTGCAAGGCCGAAGCAGATGCAGTACCAGAGAGAGCAGACTCACCAGCACCTAGAGCAGCAGACTCACTAGCACCTAGAGCAGCAACCTCTATACCTGGGTCTGGCGGCATACACAGGTAACAGTCACCCTCAGCACTAACAGTCAATGCATACATGGCACATAAGATAGCATCATAATCAAGAGCAAAGATGTCTACACCCTGCTTAAGCAGCTCTACCTTGCGGGGGAGCTCAGCCGCGTCTGGAAACTCTGTGCAGAAGGCATCGGTAAGACGAGAGAAGCAGTGGTACTAGGTGTGGAGCTTCGTGCATGTCTGACTAGTGCGGTCACCTGTGCGAATGACATACGGGCAGGGACCACTACCCCCAGCCGCCCCACTGCCACCGCCTCCACTCCCACTGCCGCCATGATTGCAGCCGCCACTACCGCCATTGCCGCCACCACTGACGCCACCTACAGCTCTACTCCCACCACCACTCCCTCCGCCACCGCCGCCCCCTCCACGGCCTCCACCGCCCCCACCACCGCCTCCACCTCTGCCGCCCCCACCGCCCCTTCCTCCCCTGCCCCTGCCGCTACGGCGCCTCCCACTAGGGGCAGACGCAGCTCCTACCTCCTCAGCACGAAGGTAGTCAACAGCTGCAGCAGAGGCGACTGAGAGGAGAAGGGGGGAGGGCGAACACCCCTCAAAGAAGGGGGTGCGAGGAGTGCCACGAGAAGCGCCTACAGCAACTATGCTAATCTCAGCTGCAAGGAGGTGCTTCTCGAGCATGTCGACACTGAGGGTGGTGGGGTCAACGGCCAGAAGGAGGTCCCTGACAGTGCTAAGAGAGTCAGGGAGGCGGGTGAATATGAAGTAGAGAGTGATGTATATGGGAGGAGGGTTCTTGGTGAGAAACTCGGCGGGAAGCGCAGCGCTGTAGCGAGTGTCACTAGTATGAAGGTGAGTGACGAGGTCGGCTACTGTGGCAAAGGCGGACAGCTCTGGGAACAGGTAGGGCAAGAGAAGGCGGCCTTGAGCAGCAGTGACCGGGAAGGAGTAACGAGCGACTACAGCGTCGTACAGTGCTTTCGCAGTCTTATGCTGTCCGAAGTGAGCGCATTCGGCTAACGGCAGGTGGTTGCAAACGGCTAAGCGAGCAGCAGCATCACGAGTAAGCCACTGTGAGCGAGTCGTACTATCAGCTGTGGCGGTAGGGGCGAGAGAGGCGCCAGACGTGAGGTCAAATAGTGAGACTCCGTCCTTGGAATCGCTCAGTAAGAACAGCTGTAGATCGTCGAGCCACGCATCGAATTCTATCGTGCGGACCTTCGGATCGAACGTGAGGACACCGAGCCAGGCCATAGCGGGCAGAGCGGTCTGGTGCGCTAGCAGCAGAGCAGCATGCAGGCAGGGCAAATCAGGGCGGTGGCCAGCAGGGCGACTCTCAGAGTAGTAGCGCGGAGTAGGGCAGGGCGGCAACCAGTAGGGCAGGGTGGCGCGGTTGTTAGCGGCGCTCAGGCAGGGCGGTGCAGTAGGGTAGTGCAGTGCAGGGGCAGCCAGCAGGGCAGTGCAGGGTAGTGGCCAGCAGGGCAGTGCAGGCCAGCAGGGCAGTGCAGGGCGGCGCTCAGTAGGTCAGGGCGGTGCGGGCCAGCAGTGGAGGGCAATGCAGAGCGGTGCAGGCCAGCAGGGCAGTGCAGGGCGGCGCTCAGTAGGGCAGGGCGGCGCGGCCAGCAGGGCAGTGCGGCGCGGCCAGCAGGGCAGTGCACGGGCAGGGCAGTGCACGGGCAGGGCAGTGCCGGGCAGCCGTGCATACAAAGCAGCAGCACGGAGTAGGGTAGGTGCACGGGGCAGAGCTTACACGTGCAGGCAGGGCAAGGCAGTCGCACTTGCTGGCACTACACTGTGCAGGGCAATGACAGTAGTGCAGTAGAAGTAGGGCAGTTGCAGCAGTAGGGCAGTAGGGACAGCGGGCCGGCGAGGTGTAGGGCCAGTGCAAGTGCACTAGCGGCAGGGCAGGTGTGCATGGGCCTGGCGTGGGCTGTACGGACTGCGTACGGGCCTAGCGCGGGCTGTACTAGCTGCGTGCGGGCCTGGCGTGGGCTGTATGGGCTGCGTGCGGGCCTGGCGCGGGCCGTACGGGCTGCGTGCTAGTTGTGCGCGGGCTGTACGGGCTGTACGCAGGCGGCGCGCGGGCTGTATGGGTTGCGCAAGGGCGGCGCACGGGTTGTACGGGCTACTGTGGGCGGTTCGCGGGCTAAACGGGCCTGGCGCGGGCTGTACAGTCCACGCTCGGGCGGTTCGCGGGCTAAACGGGCCTGGCGCGGGCTGTACAGTCTACGCTCGGGCGGTTCGCGGGCTAAACGGGCAGATTTTGGGCGGGAAAAAAAAAACTAAACGGTGGGCCCTCTGAAAAATGGTCCTTAGGGAGGACCCGCTCTATACCATGTCGGGAAGAATAGGATGGTCATTAGGTCAAGGGGATGGGTACAAGAACAACATCGAGTGAAATTCTGTACCCCCTCAGAAAACTGAAACGAGAATGGCTGCACTAAGGAATGAAAGTGGTACAAATGTGCAACCCTAGAAATGTGTACCCCAATCAAGCAAAGCAAAGCTCAGGGTGGATCACAAAGTCACCACACATTCCGAGCACAAGTTCAAGGCCAAAAGGCCAGTTCACATGCAGGAGCACATATGTATATATATATAAAAGGCTAAACAAGAAAGAGCAGGAGTATATATATGTGCCAGTACAAGCAAGGTCAAGAAGTGAGCAAGTGAGGCAAGACAGACACAAGACCAAGCTGAGTACAAAAGCGCTGATGATCACAAGGCGCAAGTGCCTTAGTGAAGATATCAGCATTGTTGGCCTCAGAGGCCACGTACGCAAGTCGCAACTGACCACGCTGCTGCAGCTCACGAGCAAGAAAGTAGCGGAGAGCAATGTGCTTCGTTCTGTGCTCTAGGCGCTGCTCCCGACACAAGGCCAGTATAGCCTTGTTGTCTACATAAAGAACTGGAGGAGAACGAGGCGGCTCTCCGAGGTCAGTCAGCAGGTAGGTGAGCCAGCGAAGCTCCTGAGCAGCCATGGCTCCTGCGTAGATCTCAGCCTCACAACTAGAGCCGAGAACGGAAGACGAGCGACTAGCCCGCCACGAAACAGAGCCGGAACCAAGGCTGAAGGTGTAACCCTGTGACGACCGATGTGTAGCCTGGTCGTCAGCCTAAGAAGCGTCTGCGTGCCCAGTGAGGACCACTGGACTCTGCCCTCCAAGCACTAGCCCCATGCCCGACGTACTGCACAAGTAGCGCAACACCCTCTTCGCTGCAGCCATGTGCTCCGGTCTGTGTCTCCCAGGAGCAACATAGCGTGCAAGAATGCTAAGAGGGTATGCAAGGTCAGGTCGTGTGCAGGTCATCAGGTACATGAGGCAGCCAACAAGCTCTGGGTACGGGCCACTCGACTCTACGGACTCATCCGAAGGCAGAGCTGAGAGCGAGTGGCGAGTAGGCAGAGGAGTGGCCTAAGGCGAGGAGTACGTGAAGCCGAAGCGCTGAAGGACCTGTTACACCATGTGTTACTGAGTCAGGGTAATGGTGCGCTGTGCTCTGTCCCGGGTGATCTGCAAGCCAAGGTAGCTGCGCAGTTCACCCAGGTCTGTGCACGTGTGTCGCTTCTGCAGCTTGGACTTCACGTGGGCAAGCCCAGCAGTGTCAGCAGTGGCAAAGACCAAGTCGTCGACGTACACGAGGATGTAGAACGGCGGCAAAGAGGTGTCCGTGCGCAGAAACAGCGACGCGTCTGCAGTAGAGGGAGCAAACCCAAGAGCCGCAAGCGTAGTCCTCAGTGTGTCGTGCCACTCACGCGGTGCCTGGCGGAGACCGTAGACTGGCCGCCGGAGGCTCCACTGGGTGCCAGGAGTAAAAGTCCCAGTGAAGCCAGGTGGGCGGCGCAGCCAGATCTCCTCGTGCAGGCTACCCTGCAAGAAAGCAGTGCTGAAGTCAAGAGAGTGAAGCTCGTAGTCGCGCTGAGCGGCTATGTGCAGCAGCACCCGAAGAGTGGTCATCTTCGGGGTGGGAGAGAAGGTCTAAAAGTAGTCAACTCCCTGCCGCTGACTGAAGTCACGAGCCACGTACCGCGCCTTGAAGACAGGTGGAGAACCTGGCGGCCGCTTCACCCTGAAGATCCACATGCCATTGACGATGTTCGCCCCAGGTGGGGGAACCGCGTCAACGTAGGTGCCTGTGGACTTCCAGGAAGCCATCTCTGCATCCATAGTTGCCTGCCACTAAGAGGAGTGGGGACCCTCTACGGCCTCCGCGTAAGAGCGCGGAGTCGGGATGTCAAGTGCATCCGGGTCTCCCTCAGGGGTAAGCAGTACAGACACGAGATGAGGTGAAGCAGCACCCAGACACTGGAACTCCTCCTGCATGTCCTCAAGGACGTCTGTGCGAAGAGCACACTCACCCCCGACGGACGGAGGACAGACAGACGCAGACTCAGCAACGAGACTAGCAGCGTAGTCTAGACGACAGCGAGCAGCAAAGTCGACGAGCTCAGCAACTAGAGCAGACGCAGCAGTGGACTCAAAGGAGGGGTCAGTGACGACAGTAGCAAGGAGACGCGTGACAGTAGGACTGGCAGTACGAAGAGAGTCCCACTCCGGGTCGGCAAGGGCAGGAAGAGAGGACGCAGGAGGAGAAGGCAAAGGGACACGCAGAGGAGCAGTGGACGGACGGAGAGACATCCGGTGCGTGCCAGGGACAGGAAGAGGACGCTGACGCGAACCGCAACTACTAGTGCGAGCTGCACGAACAGGCGACGCAGGACAAGACGCAGGCTCACGACGCTCAGCAAGACCTCCAGTAGGACCAGTGTAGGGAGAAGGAGCAGGCAGTGGGGAGGCCGGCGGGAACTGTGACTCAGACTGGACAGGCCGTGGATACTCTAAGGGAGGAGGAGGACCAAGAACCTGCTGAAGGAGCGGAACGAAGTATGGCCGAGGCCGCACGGCAACTCCAGACACAGCAAGGACAGCACCAGCACCCCTAGCGGCAGCACCAGCGCCAACAGCACCTCCAGCTGCAGTACCTCCAGCAGCACCAGTAGCACCCGCAGCAGGACCGCCGCCAGGGCTGACAACAGTAGTCTCAGCGCCAACACCCTTAGCAGCTCCAGCTCCAGTCGTACCCGCAGGCCCAGCCGCACCAGCACTCCTAGGACGAGCACCTCCGAGACCGGCAGCACGAGCACCCTCAGCAGCCGAAGAAGCTCCAGCTCCAGCAGTACGCCTCCAGCGCCGGGCAAACCACTCGCGCAGCTCCTGTGAAGAGAGTGGCTCCCGCCGAGACGAAGCACCCGGAGGACCTCCAGGCCGAGCACCCCCAGACGCCACACGAGCAGGCCCAGCTGCCGCCGGCTCCGCACCTTCAGGCGCAACAGCTCCCGACCTGGCACCCCCAGGGTCAACACCTCCAGACGTAGCACCCCCAGGCTCAGTACCCCCAGGCTCAGCACCCCCAGGCTCAGCACCCCCAGTCTCAGCACCCCCAGGCTCAGCACCCCCAGTAGTACCACCCGAAGGCCCAGCACCCCCAGGCGTAGCATCCACACGCTTAGCACCCCCAGAGTCAGCACCCGCAGCAGCACCAGAGTCACCAGTAACCTCGACAGGCTCGACTGCGTCTACCTGGGACACACCTGAAAGGGCAGGACCCTGAGGGGGAAGGGGGTCTACCTGGGGGGGACATGGCACAAGGAAGAGCGGTGGCGGGGGGTGGGAAGGAGTGCGGTAGGGGAAGAGGCGGTAGTAGGGGACCGACTCGTCAAACGTGACGTCCTGGGAGGACAGAACACGACGGGAGGTGGGGTGGTAGAACTGCCACCCTGGCGCGTCAGGGGGGAAGCCAAGGAAGACGCAAGGAGCAGCACGAGGGGACAGCTTGTCCGCAGACAAGTCGCGGACAAACGCCCGAGATCCCCAGACACAGAACGCAGACGCATCGCCTACCTTCCCCGTCCACAACAAAGCTGGGGAGGTCTCCGGCATGGAGACCCTGGGGTGAAGGTTGATGTGATGCGCCGCGTACCGAACCGCAAACGGCCACAGAAAATGGGGGGCAGCCGCATGCATCATGGACGTACGGGCGACGTCCATGACCATGCCAATGCGGCGCTCAGCAATCCCATTTTGCTGTGGAGAATCCGGAAGCGTAAAGGTCTGGCGGATGCCTCGCGCACGGCAGTAGGCTCGCAGAAGGCCAGATGAGAACTCTCCGCCTTGGTCAGAGTGGAGACGCAGAACAGGAAAGTCCGAGCCAAAGCTCCTCCTGAGCTGGAGACGAGCTGCGCGGATCCAGTC